CCTTATTCGCTATATTTTTTAATTCTACTTTTTATTTTCTAACCTTTGTTACTCTAGATATCAACTGTTCAAAATATTTGGCGAGCTAAACTTAAGTCTTGTAAGAAAGAACGTCATCAACAGAAGAAGGGTAATCATATGCCATTAATGATGCACGACATAAAAATACAATCGGTTCATGATGATCAAGACAATCAATTAGCTTCAATTAAATCTTACGCTTCTTCCATGTATATGATTGTTGCGGCTCGTCTAAGAAATATTAAACAACGTACACAAGAAATGATGAAATTCGTTTCTACTATCGATGATGATGTTTTCTTTTAAGCTCATCTCATTGCTTTTGTTGTACTATATTGTGTATTTGTTTGGTAAAAATCTTGAATAGTATTTTGATGAACTTCTGTATAATAAAAAAAATGGTTCGAGTTTACTGTCAGCCATAGACATATGAATAATGGTTTTGTTCTAGATATTTCTTATTTTAATAAATAAAACGAAAGATAATTTATAAATCCTCAGTCATGAACAATCAAAGGCGCTATTATGAATTATTGTCACCACCTCAAGTGTTAACTGAAAAACAGAACAATGCTCCAGCTATCAATATTTCATTGGATAGTGATTATGTAACAGAAGATGAAGAAGAAGAAGTACATCTGAAATATCAATTGAAAGTATTATTTTCTTTAACATTAAGTATACTTGTCTGTATTATATGTACATTTTCACTTTGATTTTCTTTAGCCATTAGAAGAACAAGTTTTATCACAAAAACTAAGTCAGTTATCTACGACTTCACATCAGTTAAATGAAAATCTTGAAGTCATCAATGAAGATATGAACCAAAATGTTCCATATTATCTGTCTAAAGAAAGCAAATCTTTCCAGCAAGTCATAAGTCACATCACACATAATGATTTACGAGAAGAATTACGACAAATGGCTCTTTTGATACATGAACTTTTAATGATCAATTTAGAAAAATCTCTTTGGAAAACTTATTTGGAAGCAGGTACAGGTCAACTTTACATTAATGAAATGACTAATGATGATAAGATTAATCCAACAATTTTGGCTCGGTCATACATTGTTGA